GTACAATGTTGGCAGTCCCTTCGAACGAATAGCGATCGACGTGGCTGGTCCTTTCCCGGAGACGAACGATGGCAACAAATACATTGTGGTAGTAATGGATTACTTCAGCAAATGGGTCGAGGCCTACGCGTTGCCAAATCAAGAAGCGTCCACCGTTGCTGATGCCCTTGTTAAAGAATGGATCTGCAGGTTTGGTGTTCCCATGGAGCTTCATTCAGATCAGGGAAGAAACTTTGAGTCCAATCTGTTCCAAGGCGTCTGTGAAGTCCTGAACATCCGCAAGACCAGAACGACTGCTCTACATCCACAATCCGATGGGATGGTTGAACGCATGAACAGAACTATCAACCGTTATCTGGCCAAAGTAGTCTCTGACCACCAAAGAGACTGGGACAAATTTCTTCACCTGTTCCTGTTGGCCTACCGTTCATCCGTCCGAGAATATACAGGGCAAACTCCAGCCAGCATCGTTATGGGACGGGAAGTGCGCCTACCTTGTGATCTGAAATTTGGTTAAATTAGTCAGATCGAATATGTCGACTTTCCTTAACCTATAAACCAAATTTTAGCTTTCAATATGCCGAATATATGATTTAACCATTGCTTATACAAGATCATGTTTTTGTCAATTTTACACATGTTATATTTTTTATCTCGAAAACTATTAGAGATTGGTATAGGTTAGTATAAATGAAAAATTTTGAGATATGGAAATATATTCGAAAAATGCAATAACATACCGAGTGTTCCAATTAAAGTAACAAAGATGCTATCACTTTTAGTATGAAGCGGCAACACTGTAATGCTGAAAATAATTTAGATAGAGCACAATCCAAATTTTAAAAAAAAATCCTATCACCGCTTCTAAACGTCTAACGTGTCATGGTCGTGAATCACCCTGTATACAAGCTTTTGTTTTAATACTAGATATTCACTTGCAGCATAAGAATTTACATTTCTATATTTCTTTATATGTATTTTAAAATCCATTTGTATGAAAACGTACCTAACTCTCTTTGTAAACAAAATCAATAAGTTTAAAAATAAATAAGAACCGCTTTCCTTGGAATATGGCGGAAAAGGTATGGTAATTTATTCTGCTGCGCGGAAATCATACAGAGGAAAATTGAATATTTTCTTAACTTATCTGTATAATACGGTACAGCTATTTTTGAAGAATGAATAAAACATAACTTCTGCAGTAATTTTAGTTCTTTATCAGGAATTATATATTATGTATCACTATACATACGCACTGTAATTTTAATTTACATTGAATGCAAATGTGGACCATTAAGATAAAAATTTATTTTTAAATGCTACTTTATTCTGAAAATAATAAATTACATTAATTATTAAAGTATAATTAATGAATATAAAAATATAAAACATTTTTCCTAAGTATGTTTGCTACCTTATTAACGATATTGCTAACATAAACATCAAGGGTAAAATATGTCTTTTTGCGGACGACACTAGCTTTACTTGGAGTAACAAGGACGTCACGGCACTTCATAGGATTATATCAAATGACTTAATCACCATTAAATCTTGGTGCGATTCGAACTTTATGTAAAATAAAAATAAAAAACTTTATATGCATAAAAAAAGTATATTATAAAAAATATTTATATTCAAACTTTATAGGTATGTATAAATTAGAGTTTACGTGCTAAATTTCTAAAATTGTCATGGTAACGAAATATACAATATTATACCAAACCAAACTAACCTAATCTAACACATTTTTGCGCATACAGCAGTTATCAATGAAAAAGTTGAAAACCAAAATATTGTAATAGCACGTTATAATGTTTTCCAAAAATATTTTTGTTTGCACTAGAAAAGTGAAATTTGATGTGTTGATGACATTACTGAAATAGTCAATTAATTGCTCTAGTTCTGTATAAAAACAACATTCAACAGAAAGGCGTGTTTGCTGTGTGTTGTTACTGATTTTGTGAATTATATGCCTTACTAATAGGGATTACTAATATTTTTAACTGCTCTAAGTAGAAACAAATGTGTAGAGATAAAGAAGTTCCTAATTTACCCATATTTACTAGAAAAATAGTGTTTTAAAATTAGTCAGAAGATAAAATCGAAAGTGATGGGGCTATTTGAACACTCTGTATATGTCATCCCCAATAATAGCATTTAATCTATTTTTTTTTATTAGTAACACCAGTATATCAAATGTTAATTTTCTAACGCAAACCGTTTTTTAAAATTGATATTAATATTTTAGTTTTAGACCTTCCTCTATAACTATACCGGGTGCGGCTCAAAAGTGGCTCACCCCTGTAACGTTTTTTATTTTTTCAGTTAAAAAACGAGATTTGATATGTTAGTATATGACATAAATTGGGATTGACTGACGTATTCAATTGTTTTCGATCACTTCCTGTTTCACAGGAAATGACTACAACTTTTGATTTTTAAATGGTACCCTCGGTATATTTTTACTTTTTTCGATAGAAAATAACACTCTGAGTAGAATGACATATCATATGTCAAATTTTGACATTTTCGCATATGGTTTATTTGAAATTGTAAATTACGGTTCGTAACGAAAATTTGACTCGAAATACCAAGTGTGCGGTATCAAATTATTCTTATTTTTTTTCCAAATATGCTAATGAGCCACCCTCGTTCCATTTGAAAATATTGAAATATGATTAAAAATACGATCTGAACATTTTCTGGCAAGGACAAGAGACTAAAAACAATAGACGATCAAATATATTCTTCCAAGGCTCCTTGAAAGAATTAGTGTTTTTAACATAGCCATGGCATTCTAGATTGAATTTTAAAATACGATTTTTTATTAAGCGAGTCTCTCAAATCAAAAGTTGACATATGATATGTCATTCTATTCAGAATGTCATTTTATATCGAATAAAGTAAAAAAATGCCGAGGGTGCTATTTAAAAATCAAAAGTTGTAGTCATTTCCGGTGAAACAGGAAGTGACCGAAAAGAATTCAATACGTCAATCAATCCTGATTTATGTCATATACTAACATACCCAATCTCGTTTTTTTATCTGAAAAAATAAAAAAGTTATAGGGGGTGAGCCACTTTTGAGACGCACCCGGTATAACTGTAGGAAAAGGCAACATCAAAAAATTATATAAAAGAAATGACTTTTTTACACCTATTCATTTACGGCCTCCATAAAACGTAAATTATTCCATAAAATGCATAAACGTGGTCTAAGTGTTGTATAAAATGGTCTGTGTATTTTTTAAAATTAATAAATGAATGTTTCTCATTCAATTTCAGAGAAAATATTATATGAAACTTGAAGTAACTCAAAAATATGAGCTAAATAAAACAAATTGCCAGGCAAATTTAGGGAAACCGTTCAAAATTTTAAAACACAAGAAATGTTCATTTTTAACTCCATCTAGTAAAAATAATATACAGGGTGTTCCATTTAAATAACAAGAAAATTATTTTATATTTTAGGAAGTTTATGAATATTGAACATCCTGTATGATATACGATTACCATATTTATAACAAAGTAAGAGCAGACTATCTAAAGTAAATACCTAATATAGTTTTGATTTCAGAACAGTTCTTGTATTTTTAATAATTTTTTTTAGAAGGGCCGGAAAATACATATTTTTTATTTATTTTTTAATATCTCTGAAACTATCGAAATATATTTATTCATATCTTAGGGTTTTGTAAAGTGATCTGAAAGGAAGCCAAAAATGCAATTATATACAGGGTGTTTCATTTAAAAAAAATCATCCAAGTCCACTCACACTTTTTTGAGTCACCCTATAGAAGTTAAAATATTTTCCTGACATACATCCTGGTACATACTTTAGGTTTGAACTTAAACAAAATTCTCAAGTTTTTTATTCTATGAGCTACAGATGCCTGACGCACTATTGCCGGACCCTGTATACTATACTATTTATTATGGACTCTCTGGGAACTATTTTAAACTTTGAATAAAATGATCAACGAAGGAGTATTTTCGATGGTATTCGACGACATTGGTATTTTAGAAACTACAAGAGATACAAATTCTTTTAAATGACAATATCTTCAGAACTATTGTATCCATTGCAAGGTAAGTAGGTAGGTTTATATTTTTGACCTCAGTCAATTAAATGCCGTTTTAAAAAAAGGTAAAAAGCCAAGCTGGTTTTCATTTCCATTATAAGGCAGAGGCATTTTACAAAAAACATCTGTTTTTTAGATTTCTATTTCTGTGGCGACATCTCAGACTTTTTTCCAGGAATAAAATATATTATTAGTAATGAAAAAATGTAATATACAGAAAGATTTCAGACATTATTAACCCCCGAACTTTTGACAAGCAATATCATCCTTACTGGCACTTTTTCTTTCCTCTATCTCGACTAGGGGAAGGCCAAACAAATATTTGACAAGTCAACACGAGAGGAAAACGCTGAACCGTGGCCCATCTTCAGAGTACACAAGCCGGCAGCACTGGGCCCTTCATATCGCTGCTTAATATCGGGCTCTTCTCGTCTTGTAGGAGTGTACTTTCCCTTCTTGCCCTTTGATTTTTTCCGCTAGGGTGAGATTTGCTCCATGGACAAGTTTATAGATATGAATATATGTTAATCCTAAATGCAGATTCCTGTAATAATTTTTTTTGAGGAAGAAATTATTTCTGTGGATAAAATGGATGGTGTGTTTTATGTTTTAAACGATGTTGATGAAACTGATCTCCACAACGGTTTATTACTATGTATGTCCAGTTTTAGGCCTGCCGCACATTGAGAGCAGCGTAGCCTAGCACAGCACAGCCGAGCAGAGGAAGCCTTTTTGTAACATACATGAACAAACGCAGTGCCGCATATTGCACGTAGTAACTTGTAAGGACTAGACGGGGGAAAAATTTTCCTCTGCCTGTGCTGCGTTCTCTGTAAAATGAATACTGCGCGCGAAGATTACACCAAAATATATAGAAATTTCAGTGTTAAGAAATTTTAGAAACAACAAAATGAGCAAAATGGAGTTGTTAATTGAAAGTGTGAGGGAAAATAGGGTCTTGTACGACACTAGCCACCAAGATTATATGAGAACGAAATATAAGGATGAGATTTGGGGCCGAATTGCCACAGAACTTAATTATTCAAATGGTAAGTGGTAGATACTTTTTTTATTACTATTTATCTATTAAAAAATAACGAGTGACCTCAAGGTTCAAAGCTGAAGTAAAATGGGGATGTACAAGGTGCTCCTTTAACATATTCTTTATTTAAATAAGTAATTTGTGATAGCAACAAAAGCTTTATAATTAATTAGTAATGCCCACGTTGGACTGAATGTTGTTGCCATGGCAGAGTTCCAAATGGAGAGTTGAAGCAGTCTCTGTATTTTTCTCTGACTAAATATGCCTCGTTTGCACTTCGTATTCTGTTGGGCCGTATGGGAAGTAACTGCGAATCTGAGAACTGCGTATCATTGTCTTCTTCGAAAATATAATTTGCATTCTCGCAGAGAAAATTATGAAGTACACATGTGGCTTTGACAATATCATCCACGGTTTCCAATTTGCATTCAAAAGGTCTTCGATACACTCGAAACCTGGCTGCCAGTATTCCAAAGGCGCATTCCACAGTTTGTCGAGCTCGAGATAATCTACGATTAATTATGTCAGTGAACAGGAAACCCGGTTATAATTAAAATTAGAATTGTACCTGTAGTTAAACCCTTTATTCCTATAATTGTTGGTAACCTGAGCTTTTGGAAATGGACGCATCAGATTAGTTTTTAAAGGGAAAGCTTCATCCCCTAAAGATACATATGGTGTATTGTCTTCTTGGCCAGGTAAAGGCCTGGGAACTGGTAATTCCAAGGTACAATTGTTTATTTTTATTCCTAAATTACTGTTGCCAAAAATATTCCCATCACTAAATCGACCCATTGAACCTACATCAATAGTAGTGAACCGATAGTTTGCATCTACAGTGGCCATTAGGACGATTGAGCAGTACTGCTTGTAATTAAAAAACGAAGATCCGCTTTGACCTGGTTTTTTAATTGTTATATGTTTACCGTCTATTGCACCTAAGCAGTTATAAAACTGCCATTTTCTTTCAAATTCTGCTGCGATTCTCACCCAAGTATTCGATGTGGGATTCGGCATGTACTGCGGTTGTAAGCATTCCCAAAGTACTTTACAAACTTCTTTAACTATTTTTGATACAGTCCTTTCCCCTAGCCTATAAGAAAATCCAATGGTTCTCCATTGTATCTCCTGTGGCCAAATACCTAAAAAATTTGTGTACCTAAGTAAATGATTACTAACAGATATGATTCACTTTTTTTAGGACAGGAAGTGAAAGAAATTTGGAGAAAACTAAGAGATTGCCATCGCGATGCATTGCGACGACAAGGAAAGAGGAAGAGCGGAGACGCTGCAAAGGCAATAAAGTTATGGACTTACCAGAAGCAGATGGAATTTCTTCTTCTGTTTATGGCTAACAGAAACACAACAGGAAACGTTGACATTTCGCAGGATGAGAGAAGCAATACTATTGAAGATAACTTAGTTTCGCCTGCATCGCAAGACATTACTGAAAGAGCGAACGAAAACACACAAGATGACGAAGTGGACCAGGCGGAAGAACCACAATACATTCAACGTTCTAGAGGCAATACAGTCGCTACTCCTGATACGCCAAATATAGGTGCCAAAAAACGAAAAATTGATATTATGTTACAGAATACCTTGGAAAATCATACAATACGAAGCAGGACGAAGAACGAAAACGTATATCATCATTACTTGATAAAAAATCGGATAATGAGAAAGAATATGGTTTATACCAGTTTTTTATGGCAATGTACAATGATACCAAGAAAATGTCAAAAATATCTCAATTGCGAATTAGAAGGAAACTTTTTGAGGCTGTCCAGCTTGAAGATGAAACAAATTTGGCGTTGAATTTTTCCCAAACAAGTAGCGCGTCATATCACCCACCACCACCACAACATCGTATAGGACTACCGTTACCTAGCCCTTCATCACATAGTAGTTCCACATACGAACAATTATCAACAGCGCAGTCACCACCACAACTAAATTACGAACCACTTCGTCCATCTTCAGAACAATCTTATGACATACCAGCAACTTCTGAAGAAGTATCTCTTTCAAACTACTTTGAAAATTTTAGATATAATCAAAATAGTTAATTTTTGTATAATCAAAATAGAAAATTTTTGTATAAAAGTGTTCATACCTCAAACATACTGCAAGTTTAGTTTCAGTTTCGATAGGCTGTTGTGCGTTACAACCTATTCCTTGTATTGTAGTTTTAATTATGTTATGTAGTTTTTGAAACTGTTCTTTAGTAACTCTGAAATACATTTTTATTTGATTATCATCAAGTTCACTTATTAAATTGAATTCCCCATGAGTGCTTCTTTTCCTCAAATAATCGTTTTTCCATACTGACTTTTTATGCCTTTTGGACAAACTATATAAAAAGACAATATTTTCTATTTCCGAATCTGATTCCGAATCCAAAAGTGAGTTTAACTGAGCAGCTGGATCCATATTTTTAAAAAAAAACTATAACAGATACACAGGAAAAATTAACTACCTACGTTCAATATGCGGATATCGCTTTGGCACAACACAGGAATAGTTTTCCTCTGTAGTTCCTCCGCTGTGCTGTGCTAGGCTACGCTGCCCTCAATGTGCGGCAGGTTTTACAGCGTCCTTCGTCGCCCTCCGGTCTCCATGCGCCACCTC